TGAAAGGAGAGAAAGTAAGTATTTCTAAGTGTTGTGTTGAGGCTGTGGTGCTGAGGAGAGTGAGCGAGTTTCTAGGATCCGGTGATGGAGCCGTGTGTGGGTAGATTCAGGATATTCTCTTCTACAGATTAGGTGCCTTCGTTCAGTTTGTTTGCAAGCATGTGTTCTGGATGTGAGGAGCTAGCTGCTTGCTGACTGCTCCAGTAAACATAGGACTAGAACATTGAAGGTGCAAATTGCCTTTGTTTGACAGTGAGCAGCAACTCTCTACACCAGTGCAAAAGCCTCTTGGGAGTGAGAGGGAATGCAGATGCGTGAGGGCTAGTGATGAGGGGTGTCTGTGTTCTAGAATAAAACCACAGTGGCCCAGGATGCTCAGAGAATAGAAGGATTCTGTTTATTTCAATAACTTAATTAAGCAAAAATTACCACAAGTGAGTCACTAGTCTTCACATTTAATATTTACATATCAAGGAAAACCATATTGAATGTAATATATCTTTGAGAATTCTTACAATTCCATAAGTGCATGATTTTGAGCCCAATGCTTTGCAGTTTTATTTTAAAATAGTAGCTCGGTTGTGACTCTCTGGGTTCTATGTAAATGGAGACTCCTGTATATTTTCTTAATATACAGTAATGATTTGATTATCTTGAAAAATACAGAAATACAAAGGTCTCTAGGAAAACATGAATGTCTTTTTTATTACTTACAATCTGGAAAAATACATAACTACCGCATTTCTTTTTTAAGATTTTATTAAGAAATCAAATCAAAGGTGTGACACTGCACAAAGGTGTCTGAGGGCCAGTGAGAGCGCCGCTGTGCTTAGGGAGGGAGTGTAGAGTGCCAGCGATAGAAAGACACACTCCTTTGTCTGGTAAAACTAAGAGCATCTGTCCATCCAAAGATCCCACTAAGAGGGTGCAGAGGCAAGCCACAGAACAGAAGACATGTGCCACTTAAAATCAGCTAAGACCCGTGTCCAGGATTTCCCACAGCTGCATCTCAGGAGGAGGAAGACATGCCTGCCGGTGACGTCGCGTGAGGACAAGGAAGGCTGCCGGTTGTCAGGCAGTGTTTTTAACCACCAAGGCAACTGTTTGCCTCTTGTCACAGTGCATTAAGCTCAGCTTATGTTTTGTTGCGTTTTTAAACAAGAATTTTATACCAATAAATAACATTCTTATCTCCTTTTCAATTATGGAACAGCTTCATAGTGTATAATTTACTTACCATGAATGCACCCCTTTAAAGAACAGAACTACATGGCCTTTGTACATTCAGAGCTCTGTACCCATCACCACAGTGTAACCTCAGAGTGTTTCATTACTGTACAAAGAAACATGATACTCATTATAGTTGCCCTGTCCTTCCCACCCCAGCCTAGTCAATGCTAGCAGCTTTGTGCATTTGTCTCTGCTGGCCGTTTTATATACACGGACTCATACAGTATGTGGTTCCCTTTTCAACTTCAAATCTGTGAAGAAACAGACAGGAGAATCAGAGAAATAAAAGCCAGACTTCAGCTCTGTTGCTACACGGAAGCTTGACTCCAGGTCATATCCTTTGGACTAGCTGTTGAAATGGGAAGGAGACATACCGCTTCATGCCATCTCAGTGACTGCCAGGAGCACACACAGAAGGGAGGTGGGACTGTGAAGGCCTGTCCCAAGTACCCTACGCTGTAGCAACAGAGCTAAGTAAAGTACTTTTTAAAAATAGATACTAGGCTTTGAAGACAATAAAGGAAATGTTCAGGGACCCATATTCCCCTCAAGAACTGGAGGTAAGAGGAACATGTTGCTAGAATCTGAGTAGCAAAGTAAGCAAACAGTAAAGTCAGAGGTGATCCAGCACAGCGGTGGAAGCTACCGTGCAAGGCAGTGGGGATCTGCTGAGATGGGAACTGAGCCTGAGGCTGCTCCCAGGTGCTCCTGGGGGTCCCCCAACAGAAGCAAATGCAGTCTTTAAGAGGAAGCAGCATCAGCTGGACTCACAGGGGATGAGAGTTGACATAACTGTCAGGCCAGCAGGCATGAAGGAGAATGGACTCCATGCATGGGGTGGACAGTAGCAGTCAGCTCGCAGTTAGACCTGGGACTTGTGCTGGAACCATCAGACAGGGTAAAATATAAGTGAATGAGCCCATTGAAAAGTGGTGCTACCTGTGCTGACATGTATCTAATCCCTGCTCCAGGGAAACTGAGGCAGGAATATTGTGATTTGGGGGGCAGCATGGGTGAAATGTGAACAAAGTATTAGGAAAAGGGTAAGGAATCTTGAAAATGAAATTTGGAAAAATGAAAAATAGTTGTTAACCAGTAGGTGAGGTCAGCTGCTGTTGTACAATGGGCAAACCATTGGTATTTGAGGGATACATCTTAACAATAGACTGCCTAATGCATACTGCTGGCAAGTGGGTTGTTCGTGTAGAACATGATGACAAGCTCTTACCTCACAAATATTCAAGATGAAATTCCAAGAATTAAAGAGTAGAGGAAGGGGGCTGGAGAGATGGCTCAGAGGTTAAGAGCACTGGCTGTTCTTCCAGAGGTCCTGAGTTCAATTCCCAGCACCCATATTGTGGCTCACAACCATCTGTAATGAGATCTGGCTCCCTCTTCTGGCCTGCAGGGATACATGCAAACAGAACACTGTATACATAATAAATAAATAAATCTTAAAAAAAAAAAAGAGTAGAGGAAAAGAAAACTTAAAAAGGTGGGTTTTTTGGTTAAAAAAATACTAAATGTTTTTATGACCTAGAGTTTTATATATATATATATATATATATATATATATATATATATATATATATATATCCTGTTTAGGACACAGATGAATGCTGATTATAAAAGAAAATAATTGAGAAATTAGGATACATTCCTAGCAAGGACTTCACAGCAGCAGAAACAAATGTCTGGTAATCTGTGAGCAGACTCAGGCATTTTCTGAGAACACTACCAAGGGCACCAAAGGCCGAGGGAGCAAGAGATGGGCGTTCAGAGTTCCCGTGTGTGGTGGGCAGGACTGGAACTTTAAGCTACATTGTCTAGATTAGAGATTATCTGTAACAGCTCACGTGGCATGTCCCATGGCCCAGCAAGTCAGCTTGCAAGTATAAGCCCTGGAGGAACTTGTGTCGAGTGTAGGTGACAGACAGTTCAATGTAATTCTGATCTTCAGAACAGATGCTGGAAATGACATAAAAGTTTCTCTTAAGAGATGAGATTTTTTAAAGAAATATGTAGTGTATTCTATTCACACAATATGGACCTACTAGGAAGTGAAATAAATGGTCCGTGGCTACATCCTTCCATATGGATGAATTAGAAATATTGTGTTGAATGAAGACAGTAAACTGCCGAGAACAACCTGTGAGTATCCAAGAGGAAGCCAATGTCTAAGAACCAGTGAACTAGCAAACAAGTTCCTCTGAGTGGGCTGAAGTAGGGGGATGAGATGGGGCAGCATGTGGGAATTAGTGATGACAGAGTTGTTTTGGACAGCATGTTCTACTGTCCCCGTACAAAGTTGCTGCTGATTTGAGCAAGACAATTCTTTGGGGGATAGTTGATTCTTAAATGTTTGTTTTATTATCCAGCTAAATCGTAAATATATTTGGAGTGTTTCAAATATAGCACAAGAAGTCAGGGGGCAGGGCTTCCAGCTCCCCTTGGGAAGACAGTTATGGCAGTTTTTATCAAGAAGCTGGAAGTAGGGTGGGGGACTTGCAGGTGGTGAGTATATTCACTGGTGGATTCATGGGTGTGTAACTATGCCAAATAAATTGGGTTTTACACTCTCGATATCTTTTAAGCACATGTACATTATGGTCCTAGTAAAGCTGCAGAGACCAAAAGCCAGGAAGAGCTTGAAGCCGGTCCTTCTCCTCATGCCCCTTCCAAAGGCCAGCTTCCCATGCTGGGGGCCTGGGAATGTGAGTCTATGTCTCTTCAGATGAATAATAACTCCTGTGTACTCCCCACCCCAAGAAAACTATGTGAGTTATCTGCTCTCCATTGCTGAGTGAATCCAGTTTTTCAAGGGGTATCAGATACTGTATTATCTGAGTTGTCTGGAATTAGTATAGGCTGAATGCATTTTAGAGTGTGTGATATTGAGATGGGTGAGAAGTTGAAGGTCAAGATAAATACCTGTTCCTTTGCCATAAGCATGATCTGTCTTCCCAGCCTCATGGCTGGAACAAGTCCCCGTGGGTTCTATGTGTACTTCCTGACATGAAGTTATTCTTGCATGCTAGACGGTGTATTGAGGCGCAGGTCCACAAAGGAAGAACAGCGCAGCAGCAAGAGGCCACGTCTGGAAACCCGCTCTGCAGGCCGGGCTACACTGCAGTAACCTGTGTGCTTTCTTACCCCACCTCTCAAATTCAGCCTGTGGGTTTGGGAGTGACTGAAAAGCTTTTACGGGGCTGAATTCTAGTTAGCCTATGAGCGATCTTACCAAGGACCTTTTTATTTTAGATGTGTTTCTCAGCACGCAGTGTGTTCTTTCATTACATTAAATGGTGTAGTAATAGTTTGAGACCAATATAAGACCAACAGGACCTATTGCTGTTTATCTAGACTCTGTGCAGCCAGTTTCAAAAGGGCTCATTCACAGGAGGGGATCTTCTTTTGACAAACAGTAATTCCTTTGGATTACAAGGATACTAATCAGTAAACTGCTGCAGGGAAAAAATGACATGGCCAGCTTTCAAGGCTCCATGTATAGCTAACCAAAAGGCTGCATTGTACTAAGTCCTGCTAGCCAGAGCTTGCTGAAATCAGATCGGCTCCAAGTTGCTGTGCCCATTCTTCATTTGAAGTGTGTTTTATGAGTGGCCTAGACATTTAGATCAGCGGAGCCGTGCCGTGGTAGCATGTGCCAGGTCCTGAATTTCCTCCTGAGCACCACAAACAAATAAAATGTCAACCTCACCTAAATGTGTTGTTGTTGTTGTTGTTGTTGATGATGATGATGATGATGATGATGATGATGATGATGATAAAGGTGTTGTAGGGTCTTGCTCTGTAGCCCAATCTCACCTCAGAAATCACCATGTAGTCCAGACTGGTCTCGAGCTCATAGCTGGTCTTCCTGCCTCATTCAGTCTCCTGCATGCTGGGTTCAGAGGCATGCCCCGCCATGCCCATCCTCTCCTAATATCTTTGCTGTGTAGGTTCACAGTCGCTTGTTGGACCAGAGTGCAGTTATGTCACTGATTTGGGCAGCAACCGGAAGAGAGTACAACTCTCAGGCAGTTCAGCTGTTTGAAGTCCCTGACTCCTGAGGTCACAAAGGATGAGCCTCAAATTAGATTGTGGTTTGGGACTGGGAAGATGGCTCAGTCAGGAAAGCGCTTGCCTTTCAAGCATGAGGACCCAAGTTCAATCCCCTGCAAAACAGAAACAAACAGCCTAGACACAGTGGCAAACACCTGTAACCCCAGCATTTTAGAGGCATCTCAGGTTTGCTGACTGGCCAACCTAGCCTACTTGGTGAGTTCTCGACCAATGCATTCTGTCTCAAAAAATTGGGTGGGTAGCCCCCGAGGAACAACGGCTCAAGTTTCTCCATGTGAGCACTCACACATACCCCTGCACATACACACAGACTTCGATCATGATGTGAATGGGGAAGAACCATTTGCATGTGGAATATTGAGACTATTTAGAATTCTTCCTCTGTATACCACCTCCCACATAACTCTCCATCCATGTAACTAACAAGTGTCGTATGGTTTTGATTTTGGAAGAGAAGGCCTTTTAACATTTGCAAACCCCAGAAATACTCAGTCTTAAAAATAAACATAGCCAGGGGCTGAGCAGATGGCTCAGAGGTTAACAGCATTTGTTTCTTTTAAAGAGGTCTTAGGTTCAGTTCCCAGCACCCACATGGTGGTCCTAGGAGACCTGATGCCCTCTTCTGACCTTGTCACATACACACAAGCAGGCAAAACACATGAATAAATCTAATCAAGATTTTAAAAGATAAACAGATCCACCCTTAATTATGCCTTGTAAGTTGTCTCTTTTCATTTGCTGAGAAACTTCCAGAAAATGAGTCCACAGATGAAAGTACCTTGGGGGTGGGGGGGGGTGGCTGACCCTTGGATGGGAGGGTCCTCATGTCTCTGTAGGAGCGATTGGTTTTGCCTTTTCTTCTGCCCCTTCACAGCATCATGGGGTGTCGTGAATCCTCCCACTAGCCTTTCAGAGATAAACACAGGACAGACCAGAGCCTTGCCATGGAGCAGCAGCCTGCACAGGTATAGAACACGAAAAGGGAGTGTGAGCAGCATGAGAGGTAAGGAATGCTGCTCTAAAGACCACCAGTTAAGTCTTTACTGTTATCAATATAAAACTCTGAGACTGCCCACTGTCAGGGGTCTTGGTTGTTGTAGCCATGCATGCCTTAAGTTCTTGGATTATTTTTTTTTTAACTAATATTGCATCTATGCCAACTAGGTTCTCAGTCAAGCAACAAATATTTACTTAGTCTCTCTTTCCTCTCTGACCACATCCCAAATGGATCACAAAGATCTCTCCAACCTTCCTTCCCTCAACTCATTCCATTGTCCCAGCCTCCAAAACCAGCAGGCATTTCCTGGGAACACACCAGTGAGCAGGCCAGGGAAATTTTCCTACCAAGCAACACAACAGCTATCACGCTTCCCTAAAATCCAGAGAAGAAAAAGAAACTGAGAAACAAAACAGCCACCCAACAAAGACAAAACCAGATATCAACGCCTAGAACTATGTCATCCCAATCCCAGATGCCTGGTTGTGCTGTAAAAACATTAACAGCCAGGACATATGTCTCCACTAGAGCCTAGAAACTACCACAGCAGGTGCCAAATATTCCAACATAGCTGAATCACATGAAAAAGACCGTGAAACAGCCTGTATGGAAATGATAAAGTTCCTTAAAGAGGAACTGAATTAACCCCTTAAAGAAATCCAGGAAAATACAGTGTAAGAAAATGAATAAAACTGTTCAAGACCTGAAAACGGAAATAGAATCAATAAAACCCAAACTGAGAGAAATCTGAGAATGAAAATTTTAGAAATTTGAACAGGAACTACAGATGCAAATATCACCAACAGAATACAAGAGATGGAAGAGACACTCTTGGGTGTTGAACATATGATAAAAGAAATGGATACACTTACTGGTCAAAGAAAATGTTAAATCTGAAAAACTCCCAACATATAATAGCAGGAAATCTGAGACGCTATGGGAAAAAAAAAAAAAAAAAAAAAAAAAACAGATCCAAGAATAATAGGAATAGAGGAAGAAGAAGAAAACCAGTTCAAAGGCCCAGAAAATATTTTCTTTTCTTTTTTGGTTTTTCGAGACAGGGTTTCTCTGTGTAGCTTTGCGCCTTTCCTGGAACTCACTTGGTAGCCCAGGCTGGCCTCGAACTCACACAGATCTGCCTGCCTCTGCCTCCCAAGTGCTGGGATTAAAGGCGTGCGCCACCACCGCCTGGCTTATTTTCAACAAAATCAGAAAAGAAAATTTTCCTAACCTAAGGGAGGTGCCTATAAAGGTACAAGAAGCCTGTAGAACACCAAATAGATTGGACCAGAAAGAAAGTCCCCTTGGCACATAATAATGAAAACACTAAACACAGAGAACAAAGAAAATATTAAAAGATGCAAAGGGAAAAGATCAAGTACCATATAAAGACAGATCTATTAGAATTAACCTGACTTCTCCATAGAGACTCTAAAATCCAGAAGAGCCTGGACAGATATACTGCAGTCTCTAAGAGACTATAGACGCCAGCCCAAACTTATACCCAGCAAAGCTTTCAGTCACCATAGATAATATTCCACGATAAAGTCAAATGTAAGCAATATTTATCCACAAATCCAGCCCTACAGAAGGTGCTATAAGGAAAACTACAACCTAAAGAGGTTAACCACAACCATGAAAACACAAGGCTAAATAACCCAAGACCTGAAAAATCAAAAGAAAAGGAACACACAGGATCTCTCTCCCCACCACACACCACTACCACCATCAACAACAACAACGCCAACAACAACAAAATAAGAGGACTCGACAATCATTGGTCATTGATACCTCTCAATATCAATGGTCTCAATTCCCCAATAAAAAGACACAGATTAAGAGAATGGATAGGAAAGCAGGATTCATCCTTCTGCTGCATCCAAGAAACACACTTCAAAATCAAGGCTAGACATTACCTCAGGGTAAAGGATTAGAAAAGATATTCCAAGTAAATGGACCTAAGAAGCAAGCTAGTGTAGCCATTTTATAGCTAGCAAAATAGACTTCAAACCAAAACTAATCAGAAGAGATAGAGAAGGACATGAAATACTCATTAAAGGAAAACTCCACCAGAAAGACATTTCAATTCTTAACATCTATGCCTCCAAACACAGGCACCCAAGTTTGTAAAAGAAACACTACTACAGCTTAAATTAAATATTGACCTGAACATACTGATAGTGGGAGACTTCAATACCCCATTCTCACCAATAGACTAGTCATCCAGACAAAAACTAAACAGAAATACTGGAGCTAAAAGACTTTATAAACCAAACAGGCATAACAGATATTTACAGAACATTTCACCCAAACACAAAAAAAATATACCTTCTGCTCTGCACCTCATGGAGCTTTCTCAAAACTGACCACATACTCACACAACTCAAGTCTCAACAGATACAAGAAAATTGAAGCAACACCCTGTATCCTTTCAGATCAGCAGGGATTAAAGCTAGATATCAGCAACAAGAAACAACAGAAAGCCTACAAACTTGGTGGAAAATGAACAGCTCTCTACTAAATGAAAAACGGGTCAAGATAGAAATTAAAGACTTTCTATGATTGAGATGAAAATAAAAAGACAACACACCCAAACTTATGGTACACAATGAAAGAGGTTCTAAGAGGCAAGTTCATAGCACTAAGTGCCTACATTTAAAAAACGGGAGAAATTTCATACTAGCAACTTAACATCACACCTGAAGACTCTAGAACAAAAAGAAGAAATCATATCCCCAAAGAGTAGACGACAAATAATCAAACTCGGCTGAAATCAATAAGAATAGAAACAAAGAACAATACAAAGAATCAAGAAAACAAAGAGTTGTATTTTTTTTTTGAGAAAACAAAATTGACAAATGCTTATCCAAATTAATTAAAGGCAAAGATAGAATATCCAAATTATCAAAATCAGAAATGAAAAGGGGACATAACACACACTGAGGAAATTTAGAGAATCATAAGGACATACTTCAAAAAAAAAATCTGTACTCCATCAAATTGGAAAATCTGTAAGAAATGGATAATTTTCTCAACAAGTCCAGTTACCAAAGTTAAATCAAGATCAGATAAGCAATTTAAACAGACCTTTAACCCCTAGTGTGTGGTGATATATATTGTGTCCCTCAATATATTGTGCACCATAATAAAGCTTATCTGAGGATCAGAAGAAAAAGCCAGCCACTATATTAAACATAGAGGTCAGGCAATGGTAGCACATGCCCTTAATCCTAGCATTCGGGAGGCAGAGATCCATCTGGATCTCTGTGAGTTCAAGGCCACACTAAGGAATAGAGCCATGCATGGTGACACACACTTTTTTTTTTTTTTTTTTTTAAAGATTTATTTATTTATTATGTATACAGCATGTGTGACCAGAAGAGGGCACCAGATCTCATTACAGATGGTTGTGAGCCACCATGTGGTTGCTGGGAATTGAACTCAGGACCTCTGGAAGAGCAGTCAGTGCTCTTAACCTCTGAGCCATCTCTCCAGCCCGCCACACACTTTTAATCCAAGCACTAACCAGAGAGGTCTGGAGGTCTGTACAGACAGACAGGAAGTGATGTAGCTGAGCAGAGAGAGGAAGTGAGATGCAGAATAGAAAGGCTTATAGGTGTGGGTATACAGGAAGTAGGTCTCTTTGAGGATTTCTAAGTAGTAAGAACATGGCTGGCTTCTTTCTGCTTTTCTGATCTCTCAGTTTTTACCCCAATATCTGGCTCCAGGTTTTTATTAATAAGACCGTTTAGCAATGTGTCTTACACTTGTGAAATAGAACCAGCCATTAGAAGGCTCCCAACCAGAAACAGCCCAGGACCAGATGGTGTTCACACAGAATTTTACAGACTTTCAAGGAAGAGATAACCCCAATACTCCTCAAATTATTCCACTAAATGGAAACAGAAGGAACATTGTCCAAATCATTTTATGAGGTCACAGTTACCCTGATGCCCAAACCACACAAAGATGCAACAAAGAAAGAATTACTGATCAATTTCCCTTAGGAACATAGATGCAAAAATACTTACTAAAGGACACAAAAACTGAATCAAAGAACATATGAAAAAGATCATCCTCTGGGCAGTGGTGGCACACACCTTTAATCTCAACACCCAAGAGGCAGAGGCAGGCAGATCTCAGTGAGTTTGAAGCCAGCCTGGTCTACAACATGATTTCCAGGACAGCCAAGACTGTTACACAGAGAAACTCTGTCTCAAAAAACCAAAAAACCAAAAAAAAAAAAAAAATTACCCAACATGAACAAATAAGCTTCATCCCGGAGATTTAGGGATGCTTCAATATATATATGTATATATTGTATGTATATTGTATATATATTTGTGTGTGTGTGTATACACACATACACACACACACACAATAGTAATCCACTTATAAACAGACTAAAAGATGAAAACTACATGATCATTCCATTACTTGCACAAAAAAGACCTATGACAAAAATCCAACACCACCATTTCATGATAAAAGTCCTGGAGAGATTAGGGATACAAGAGACACATTTCAACATAAAACTAGATAACACTGAACCTGACAGAAGAGAAAGTGTGAATAGCCTTGAACTCGTTGGCACAGAAGAGTTTCTGAACAAACTTCATTAACTCAGGCACCTCAAAGCCGCCTCCACAGTGACACACTTCCTCCAACAAACCATATCCACTCCAACAAAGCCACACCTCCTAAGAGTGCCTCTCCAAATGAGCTTATGGGAGCCAATTGCATTCTAACAGCGAGTCCCCCGATCCTTCTGTCTCTCTCTCCCCAGTGCTGGGATTACAAGCATGCACCATTATGCCTGGCGTTTTTACATGGGTTCTGAGGATCAAACTTGGATCTCTAGGTTTGCAAGGCAAGTGCTTTACCAACTGAGCCATTCCCCTAGCTCCGTTCTCAGTTTTCTCTCTCAGTTCAGTGAAGTTATCTTTCAGAGACTTGCTGAGAAAGGATGCGTGGTGATTAGATGTTCCCAAGCTCACCACTTCTCATCCGACCCTCACAGCTTGGTGGTTCATAGACAGCTGCCACTGTCAGGTCCACAGCTGCAGTCTCACTTGGGAAATCTCAGAAATCCCGGGGAAATGTGAAGTGTGTGTGTGCTACTGAAAGGTGATGTTCTGTATGGGAGGAGAAGCCCCACCTTAGCCAACTAGCAAGACTCCACTCACCCTCCCTGACAGGTAGAAAGCCACATTTCAGATGAATATCATCAGCCAGGGGATGTAGCATGAATCTTAAAGGGTCTTATTAATAAAAAACAAACCCAGGCCAGGTATTGGGGTGAATGCTGGAAGATCAGAGAAGCAGAACAAGCCACAGCCACCTCACTTCTCCAATTCCTCAGCCGATCCTGTTTCCTCAGACTGGAAACCTCTGAGTCCTCATCTAGAATGGGTCTCAGCTGAACTGTGCTGCTCAAAAGCCTGAAAGCTTCACCAGCCAAAAGCTTAACCAGCCTCAAGTTCCTGGTCCTCACATCTTATATACCTTTCTGCTTTCTGCCATCACTTCCTGGGATTAAAGGCTCACCTCCTGGAATTAAAGGCATGAGTCACCATGCCTGGCTGTTTCCAGTGTGGCTTTAAACTCACAGAGATCCAGATGGATCTCTGCCTCCCAAGTGACAGGATTAAAGGCATGAGTGCCACCATTTCCTGGCCTCTATATCTAGTGGCTGTTCTGTTCTCTGACCCCAGATAAGCTTATTGGGGTACACAATATATCAACCACATTTCCCCTTTTTTGTCTAAAATAATAAAAGAAGGTTACAGTCAAGAATTACATTAACGTTGTCTAGTCCATTAACATTTGACAGATGCAGATGAAAAATTCCATTAATATATAACAATGTCCAGTCCATTAACATTTGATAAACTCAGACAAAAAATTTTTCATTACTTATTCTATTTAAAACAAGTAGTTCCTTTTCAAAACTAGGTTCAATAACTGACCTTTTTATCCTATCATCTCCATATTCTCTTTTTTCTTTTCTTAATTGATTCAATAATCTACCTTTTGTCATTTTTATCTCTTCCCCTTTTTCTTTTTAGAGTAGATTCAATGATCTACCCACTTATCCTATTATTTCTTTATCTTTTTTTCTCAGGGTAGATTCAATGATCTACCTCATATCTATATTCTCTTTTTTCTTTTTCTTTTTTTTTTAAACAAAAACTCTGAATCTAATCACCTTGTTCAGCTTTTTTCCTGACCATTAACAATTAACAACTTGTAACCAACCATCATAAACAATGACAATATCCATAAATCATTAAACAACCGAAAAACCATCCACCCCACCTCTTGGGAATGTGGATGTCATTTTCTTAAAATTACTTCCTGCTTTCTAGGGGCAAAGACATCTTTAGGGAATCCTGAAAAGAAATTTTTGGGTTAATTGTCAAGTCCTGTATCATTTGTCCAGCCGCTGCATAATGAGAAAGTTCAGGGCTTGTTTCAAGTCCTTGTTCAAGTAGTCTGTCAGGCTGGATCATCTCAGTTGGCCATCTCAAAATTGTCCTGAGCAGTTTGTAGTCCAAAGCAGATCTTACTGTGGTGTTAATCAGCTTAATGGCTTTACCATAGTCCATGTGGGATCATCTTTGTGGAGTCCCATCATCCATTTGAAGATTTCAAATTTGCTGTTAGGCTTGGTCATGGTTCCCTGCAGACTTTTTTTATTTTTTATTTTATTTATTTATTTATTTGTGTGTGTGTGTGTGTGTGTGTGTGTGTGTGTGTGTGTGTGTGTGTG